GGAGTAACAACCACAAGCGCACAAAAGTGCAGATGAAAGTCGTTATTTCATAAGAACAGACAAAGTAGCTAAAGATACTAAGTAAAATTTCTGTGCTTCTCATTTTCAATCCTAATAACCTCATTAGATAATCATACAAACATATTGTCACATATTTTCAATTCTAAATTGTTAATACAGTTGTTGTTCGGTTAATCTCATATTGCATAGCAGACATAATACATTATACAATAGTAACATACTCTACCTAAGGTTATATAGTTCTTTTTGGGAACAGAAATGATTCAAAAGTGAATGAAAACATCACAAACTTGTCCAATATACAAGTCCAGGTTATATTTTGTACTTTTCACAAAATATCAATGACTTAATATAAAACTCCATAACTAGTCCAGGTGTCAAAGAGCCTAGGGTCAGGTAGAAGGTGGGATATCAACTGCAGCAGTGTTGGATGGAAGATAGGACTACCAAAACTATGGATAGAGTGGGGATGTATACTTTCATATTGAAAGCCTCTATTGCAGTTTGATGCTCCGTATAAATTTATGTATAAAAAAGACAAGGCAAATTTCTGTGATAAGATATATCTAATATGCTTATATACATACATACTTACATACATACATGCATACATGCATGCATGCATGTGTGTGTGTGTGTAATCTCGGAAAGTGATAGCTTATCACTGAGCTAAGCGCTTTGCCGCTTTTTGCAATGAAGCAAATAATACATTGATCAGGCGTAGAGGTTAAGAAATCAGAAGAATGTGTGTTGAGGTTCATCAAGAAGAAGAAAATATAAACCACATATTTGTTTCGTTAAAAGGAAATTGGAGAATATTTTGAGACGAAATGGTGGAACAAATCCCAGCGGGTTGGATGGAATACACATTCACACAAAATTCTGCCTATCCATTGTAGATATTAAAATCAGAAAACGGAAGCAATTTAGTTTCATTTAGAAAAAGCACTTGTAAGCTTATTTATTGATAATAATAATAATAATAATAATAATAATAATAATAATAATAATAATTATAATCCTGGAATGTGCAATATGAATGAGTTGGTTGAAAGGATCAGCCCATTTTCTTGCATTGTGACTAGTTGTTTGTGGGGAAAAACTTGGTTATATCTTGAGATGGCCAGAGTATTAAACCGTTGTTTGATTTTTGTTTTTGGATGCAGAGAAATTTGAAGATAATGATTCTTACGGGTTTATCTGCAAAGCAGGAGAAAGATAACCAGGTGCTACAAATTAAAAAGGAAGTTGCAGAGATGGTAAAGATTCGAATCCCGCTTATGAAATCGAAGGTGCATTTCTTTTCTTTTGGCTTCCAGTGGTTTGATTTCCAATTCAATGTCTTTTTTTGGTAATCTAATTCAATGTCGCTTGGTATGTCACTATAGTTATTATTATTGTTTTTCCCAGACTATATTCACCAATCTTCTAAT